CTTTAACAACTCTGAACGTACTTTTCCACGCTGTTGACTTTGCAACACCAAATTTAGAGGTCACAGATCTATTAACAGGAAACCAGAAAGTTACTAGACACAGTTTATGGTATCATCAACAGTTCAAGGAAATGGCCAAGAAGTTTTGCAGGATGACGAATCCGAAAGTATGGATGTTATAGAAGAGGAATTCGCTGATCCAACTATTGGTACGTAATTATAATCTACTTATTTTTTCACTTCGCGTCTTTCCGCACTAATAGTAGATGTATCTCTCCCTCTATTTTCCTGTCTTTATGAATATGAGTACTATTACTTTTTTATTCGTCAGTGTAAAAATTTTACTGTGAATTGTCACACATCTATTAAATGCATATTTGCAGGTTCCAAAACAAAAGACCGTACCTTGTGGTCTGACGCACAAGTAACTCTTCTTTTATCTCTGTATGGTGATAATCAAGAACTATTAGACAGTAATGCTATGACTTACAGACAATTTTATAAAATTCTTTCTCAAGGACTTTTGGAAAAAGGTTACAAATTCTCTTCTATTCAGTGCCAGTACAAAATTGATAATTTAAAAAAAAAGTATAAAGAGGTCAAGGATCACAATGCCAAATCTGGGAATAATCGAAAAGATTTTGCATTTTTTATGGTAATATAGAAAATTCATTTACTCTCTTATTCAATGTATCAATAATAAAAATTTTATTAACTTTTGTTAGAAAATGGACGATTTGTTTTCAAAAAAACCGTGGGTTACTCCCATTTCTGTAGCTGGATCGGATTTACCATTGATGATAAGTGAAAAAGAAAATTCGATGGGCAAATGTTCTTCAAACTTTAGTTTGTATTCTTCTGTACCATAGTTGTAAAAAAATTATATATAATTGCATAAATGTATAAACCTACTTTATTTGCAGAAAATCAGAAGGCGAGTATTGATGCACTGAAGAAGGAATATCTGCAAAGTGCCATTGATGAAAGGATCCTTCGAAGAAAGGAAAATTCTGCATATCGACAAAAAAAACTACAGGTCCTTGAAACCTTAGCAACAGCACTAACCCAAAAATGTGATTCTTGCGATAGGGTCTAACAGTTCGCATTTTTACGTATTTTTTAAGCGTACATTTTTTTAATACTACTTTTTATGCTTAAGTTTGCTTCATAGTAATTTAGTATTATTACTTACAAACTGGGGTATTATTAATCTTCTTATTGGCCATTTCCTAATACTCAGCTTTTATTAATCTCAAAACATAACAATTTACTTTTAAACTAATAAGCTGATAGCTTTACTAAAAAAGTTAATGTGTTCATCGTAGAATGTAGGCTTTATAAAATGTTTTGTAATATTTAGAGTTGTTTAATTTATAGCTTTGTTTCGTTACATTGAAATTTTATATTTGTATGTAAGTAATGTATGAACTTAAATTTAGAATTAGAGTAATTAAAAGCATTTTGTGATACATACATTATAGATATCATATTATGGACCAATTACATACATAATGCTCTCGTATATTTTTGTGATTTTCATATATATATACAGGAATTAAAATTAAAATTGATGTATTACCTCTAGAGTTACTAAAAAAATATATTCACATAACATGCGAAGGTAAATGTGTTATATAAATTACTGCAATGATAATAATGGCCATATTTAAATATTCTATTTATTATAACATTACTTTGTAAAAACAAAAAAACTTAAATAAACAATTTTTCAAGAGTATATGTGTAGTACGTAAACAAATTGATGTAAAAATTTACATTATTAATAAATAGAGTGGTAACATGTAAATATACGAAAGCACGATACGACAGTTTATCTGAAGATCACTCATATAGAATATACATTTTTATATGTCTCTATTTCTTTGCAGTGTCAGCACTAATTCCCGTCTCTTAGCTTCTCCTAGTCTCTTTTGATCAGCATTTACTGCGAGGGGCTCTGGATACTCATTTTCAGTGTCTGGTATGACGATAGGATACTCAAACGTATCCTCTCNACGATAGGATACTCAAACGTATCCTCTCTTTTTAAACAAATGTTGTGCAAGACACAAGTAGCTAAAATGTAGAATGGTAAGAGATCAGTCCGTCGCATTGGTACTTTATCCAAAAGAATTCTCCATCTCATCTTCAAGAGTCCAATACAACGCTCTACCATAGTACGTATTCTCGACAAGTTGGTATTAAAAAGAGTTTCTTCTCTGCTGAGATGCCCATTGTCTTTGAAGGGAACCATAATACATTTCTGAATAGTGTAAGCTGCATCAGCTAGGATGTGACAATCGTTTGGAAAATATTCGTCAGTGCACTTATCTTGTACACCAGAATACTTAAAGACTCTCATATCATGCACAGACCCAGGCATGCCCACGTAACAGTGCATGAATTCCAACTTGTCGTTGCATATGACCTGCAATATGATCGGTTATACAAAAGGTATTAACAAACTTAAGTTAAAATATTCACTTGTGTTGACAAAGTTGAAAACAATAAATTCGTCATGAACCTGTAATTGTATGGAGTGTTTGCCTTTTCTGTTAATGTATGCGTTTGGATCATTTTTGGGAGCCGATATATTAATATGGGTACCATCCAAGGCCCCGATTACACCAGGAAACCCATGAGCCTCTTGGATTCGTACAGCTGTTTCTTGAGCTTCCTCATGAGAAGGCCACCTAATAAAATAATTTCGATAGTTGCAGAGCACTTTAACAACTCTGAACGTACTTTTCCACGCTGTTGACTTTGCAACACCAAATTTAGAGGTCACAGATCTGTTAACAGGAAACCAGAAAGTTACTGATACAGATCGCCAAAGTAAAATTGTAGTGAGTTGGAATAGTATTCTGTATATATAATAAGTATTACCTGTAGGAATCAGGTGTTCCCAAAATCCATAATGCTATTAACAGTTGTTTTTCTGCACTAATAGGAACATTTCCAAATCCACCAACAGCAGCTTCTAATTGATCCCTCGTGAGAAAGAGGAGATAATCGAAAGTAACACGCCTAAGCCTATGCAATACAATCAATAATTAAGTATTATAAGAATAATTACAACAATATTATTATTATTA